GTTGCAAAAAGTTGGACTTGACTGAGCAACTGAGCACACACAGAGTAATAGTAATAGCAATAAAAGAACTTTTCTCTCAAGACCAAAGAAACTATGGAGCCTGACTCCTGCTGCTAAAATTATTCTGGACTTGAGAGCCGGCCATCGGAGTTCCCGCACTACCCCAGATGGCAGAGTCAGCTTGCCCAGCCAATCATCCCCCAGCCAGGCGGTGGCTTGCCCATCCCCTTCCCAAAATAGGCCTAGAGGCTATTTTGGAACAATCTGTTCTCTCATAAAATGAGATCCCAGAACATTCGTGCTGGACTGCAGGGGGCTGGCTTACCACCAGCAGCCAGCAGGTGCTAGATGAGCCAGAGCAGACTCTCTCCGGGGAATGTACAGAGCTGGCTCTGTGATCCAAGTTTAGTGGCTCCCGCTGGTAGTCCTAGGAAGGAACTGAGGGTCTGAGAAGGGGGTTCACATGCCCAAAGCCACACATCCTTGAAGGTGAAATGACAGGATACGAACAGGCCTGAGAAGCTTCAGAGCCTATTCTGGTTTTCCTTTTCTTTTTGATTAAGTAGAATTCTCAGCATAGGTCCTGTGAGTTTTGACCATGATCAAGAATCAGAACAGTTCTGCCCCCCTCTCCCCCTGAAATTCCCCTGGTCCCTTTGATGACAATCTCTCCTGCCACTCCTAGACCTGGTACTCACCGATCTGTTTTCTGTCTCTGTTTTTGCCTTTCCTATAGCATCCCAGGGGGCTTCCCAGGGGACTCAGTGGTAAAGAATCTGCCTGCCGATTCAGGAGACACAAGAGTCGCAGGTTCGATCCCTGGGTCGGGAAGACCCCCTGGAGAAGGAAATGGCTACCCACTCCAGTATTCTTGCTTGGGAAATCCCAAGCACAGGAGAGCCTGACAGGCTACAGTCTATGGAGTCGCAGAGAATCGGACACAACTTAGCAACTGAACAATAACAACATAACATCCTACAAAAGGGAGCACACAGGATGTAGCCTGAGTCTGACTTCTTCCAGTGAACAAATGCATATGTGATTCATCCACATTGCTGCATGTGTCAAAAATCCATTCCTTTTCTTGGCTGAGTAGTTTTCCATTGTACGATGGAGTAATTGTATGCTGTTCACCCAGTCACCAGCTGAAGGGCATTTGGGATACTTCCAGGTTTTGGTGATTACCAAAACCAGCCACTATAAATATTTCTTGTGTGAACTTGAGTTTTTGCTTTACTTGGAAATGGGATTGCTGTGTCATATGGTCAGGGATGTTAACTTTTGTATGAAACTACTGTCTTCTAACCGTCTTCCACTAGCAGTGCATGAGCATTCCAGTGGCTCCAAATCCTTACCAGCATCTGGCATTTTGAGTTATTTTTATTTTACTCACTCTAAACAGTGTTGTATTCGTTTGCTAGGGCTGACTTAACAGAACACTTTTCACAGCTCTGAACACTGAACACAGTTCAGTCGCTCAGTCGTGTCAGACTCTTTGCGACCCCATGGACTGCAGCACTCCAGGCTTCCCTGTCCATCACCAACTCCCAGAACTTGCTCAAACTCATGTCCATAGAGTTAGTGATGCCATCCAACCATCTCATCCTCTATTGTCCCCTTCTCCTCCTGCCTTCAATCTTTCCCAGCTTCAGGGTGTTTTCCAGTGAGTTGGCTCTTAGCATCAGGTGACCGAAGTATTGGAGCTTCAGCATCAGTCCTATAGATAGGGTGACTTAACATAAATTTATTTTCTCACAGTTCTGGCAGCTAGACATCAAGGTGTCAGCGGCACAATCGGTTTCTTCTGAGACCCCTCTCCATTCCCTGTAGATGGCCAACTTCTCCTATGGCCTCACATGGCCTTTTCTCTGAGCATGTCTGAGTTCTAATGTCTTTTCTAAGGACACTAATGTCACACATCTATTCTCTTTGGTGAACTGTTCAAATCTTTTGCCCATTTTTTATCAAGTTTTTTTTTTCTTATTTAAGTTTGCTTTCCAGCTTTATTGAAATGCAATTGATGTATAGCCAACTGCACAGTAGGCCTTCCCAGGTGGCTCAGCGGTAAAGAATCCGACTGCCCATGCAGGAGACTCAAGAGACCCAGGGATTCGTTCCCTGGGTTGGGAAGATCCCCTGGAGAAGGGCATGGTCACCCACCCCAGTATTCTTGCCTAGAGAATCCCATGGACAGAGGAGCCTGGCGGGCTACAGTCCATGGGGTCACAAAGAGTCAGACACAGCTGTAGCAACTTATCACGCACACACACGTGACTGGTATATAGCTCCATGAAACCATCACCATAATCAGGAAAATTAAGACCTCCATCACCTGGAGTTTTCTTCTACTTCATTGCCATCCCTCCCACCCCCACCCCCATCTCTCTCTCTCTCCCCAAGCACCCACTGACTAGATGTTATTATAGATGAATTTGCCTTTTCTATAATTTTTTATGAAGGGAATCATCCCATATGCATACTTTCTGGTACAGCTTTTTTTCCCCCATCACAATGCATTTGAGGCTCATTCATGTTATTGTTTGTTCCTCTTCATTACTGAGCACTATTCATTCCGTTTGTTTCTTTTTCTTTTTGGCCACACTGCGTGGCATGTGAGATCTTAGTCCCCCTATCAGGGAGCACACCCAAGCCCCCTGCATCAGAAGCATGGGGTCTTAATCGCTGCACCACCAGGGAAGTCCCCATTCACCTTTTGATGGAACTTTGATCGTTGTTTCCAGTTTGAGGTTATTATTTAAAAGCTGCTATGAATATTCATGTCCATGTCTTTGTGTGGACACATATTTTAATTTCTGTTGGACAAATACCTAAGAGTGGAATGTCTGGGTTAAACAGTAATTTTTAAAGAAACTGCCAAACTTTCTTAACTTTACTTTTTGAGAAACTGCCAAAGTGTCTTCCAAAGTGATTGCACCATTTTATATTCCCACCTGCCATGTATGAGAGCTCCAGTTGCTCCATATTCTTGCTAACACTCACTGTGGTCCGTCTCCCTAATTTTAGTCCTCTAGGGGGTGTGAAGTGGTATCTTTCCACCCATTTACCTGATGGCCAAGTATGTTGAGCATCTTTCATGTGTTTATCTCTATGCCATCCTGTATATTCTTTATGGCAAAATGTCCATCCCAATCCTTTGCTCCTTTTAAAATTGAGTGGTTTCCTTGTTAGTGAGGCTTAAGAATTCTTCACATATTCAGGAACCACTCCTGTTATCAGGTGTGTGATTTTCAAAGATTTTTTTCCTAGTCTGTGGCTTGACTTTCATTAACTGGGTTTTGCACAGAGTCTTAGCTGCAAATCCCAACCATTAATCCCATTAATCATCCAACCTATTTTGAAGGGTAGTGATAGTCATCATCCTCTTTTTCCCAAGCAGCAAACAGGCTTAGAGAAGGGGAAGCCCGATGACCTACAGATGGCACAGTGAGGATTAAACCCAAGTCTACCTAATCCAAAACCCCACAGACTTCACCCACTGCCTCCATCTCCCCCTGGTGACTAAGGGCTAGCATGAGCTTCATTCTCCTAGAAATTCCATGTGTCTCTAAGTTTACAGACTCCCATTGTGCCCTGAGGCCAAAAGAGCAAGAATGAATCAAACAAGCCGTCAGGATTCTTTCACAACAAATTTATTTGCTGATCCTTCACGCTGAGCCTCGACAGACATGCAAGAGGAGGAATTTGGGGGCCCTACAGCCTCAGGACCCACCAAGCTCCCGGGCATCACCAGATCAAGGCACTTTCCCAGTAATTGGGCAAAACCCGGGACCCCAACAACCCAAGGCCTATGTGACACAGCCACAGGCTGATGCCCTGAGCATGCCCTGAGAACCCACATGCAAAGAACAGTCCCAAGCTGGCCAATTCTGGGCCCAAATCCCACCTGAGACTGGCCATGCCCAACCCACCTACCCCTCTCGAATACCCTGGTGACGTAGGCTGAGGTGAAGGTGGCCAGGAGGGGCGCTCAGCTCCCATCCCCCTTGCTCACCCTGAATCAAGTTCCCAGCCTGTTCAGTAGCAGCACAAGGTTTGGCACATAGTAGGCAAGTGTTTGTTGAATGACTGAGCGAGCGGCAATGAGGATGCCAGCGCTGAGGGAGGTCTCATGGAGCTTCTGGAGTCCAACAGTGAGTGCTTGAAGCCCCTGGACTAGAGCCAGATCTTGGAACCCCCACCTGGCCAGCTGCATTTCTCTGGTTTAGGGGGCAACCTGAAGCCAAGGATCAGAAAAAGCCTCCCCTACCCCTCCACGCTCTCAAGTCTGGCCTAGACACAGCTACTGAAGGCCTCCTTTGTTCCAGGTAACTTGTGGGGTTCTCCAAGCCACAAACACAAAAGATCTAAAATGCAAAACTGTTTTTTAAGCACGATGAACCTCCATCAAGGCCTCACCTCCTGACTGCATTGTGCTTCTGAGCTTACAAAGCTGGTTTGTCAGGTCCAGCCTCACATCAGCCCTTGTATACAGAATGGGGTGAGGGGCCACTATACTGATGGGCACGCAGGGCTCAGAGCAGGTGGCAGCTTGCCCAGGGATGCCCAGGAGAAGTTGACAGGAAGAGACGTGGAAATCATAGCAGCTACCTTACAGCAGACAGTAAACATCCGTCAAATGGATGAGCCTCAACATGGCTTGAAATTCTTCCAGAGTCAAGGTGTCATTTTAGAGAGGGAATAACAGGACCAAGAACATAACTGCCAGGGTCACCGGTTGGAGCTATTGCTGGGATTCTGTGGACCGCTCCACCAAAGCTGTAACTCTATGGGGACCTGGCAGAAGGAGAAAGGGACTCCCATTCTTACAAATGCCCTTCACCCCCCCATAACTCACTTAACCCCCCACACCAGGCCCGGAGGGTGGGCTGATGGCCCCAGTTTGCAGACAGGAAAGCAAAGGCCTGAAGAGGGGAGAACTGAGCCCAGGTCCTGGGTCTGGGTCTTCTCCCTGGTGCCCTGAAGACCCCCTGGGTTGCCCCCTAATCCGCCTTCTTGGTCTTCTTCTTCCTGGAGCCCTCACTCAGCTCCTCCTTGGACTTGGTGGGTAGGGGTGAGTGTGGGGAGCCAGGCCCGCTGCCACCCTGGGATCCACCGTGGTTGTTATGGTGATGGTCGCCCCCTGAGGCCGACCCAAACAGCACGGGGCAGACGTAGGCTTCCAGGACATCAAAGGGGGAACTGTGGGAGTGGGTGGCCGTCAGGAACACCTGAGGTGGGATGACAGAGGGGCAGGAGACAGCGAGAGAGCCAGCAGGGGGAGGAGGCAGAAGCAGATTGGGGTGGGGGGATAGAGAGAGAAGATCAGAAGGTCAAGGGCAGAGGGAGCCTAGACTCAGATTTCTGGTGGCATGCACCCCCAGGAAGGTGATCGACTATCCTGCCTTTTCCAGGATGCAAAGATTTTGGTGCTTAAAATCCCAGCCACACCGAAACAGTTGGTCACCTTTTCCCCGGGAATATTCCCACCTACCACGCGCACACCTGGGCTCAGAGAAGAGCTATGCTTGGTCTGGGGTCACTCACTCCCTTCCTCTATTCAGTGTGGTCCCCTCCTAGGGAGCCAGCAATGAAGTTCCCCAGCTCCACGGGGCAGGGAATGGTGTGTGGCCCCGAAAGACCTTTCCTGAGTAGGAAGTGACTCCAACTCAAGGCCTGAGGGTTAGACCAGCACCATTCCTAATCCAGCCCGCTCTGCATGTCCAAGGCACAGAGCCCCCATACTCCAAACAGACTCCATACTCTCCTGCTTCCATCTTGGCCTTATGGGGTCCTCTGCCTGGAAGACCTTATTCTGCTCGCTCTCACCCCCTCCTGCTGTACACTGATCTTCTCACACCCGCCTCTCAGGCATGAAGCTACTGACAAGCTCCTCCCCACCCCCAACCACCTCGACTTTAGGGCTGTCCTTTCCCCAGACACCCCAAGGCTATCAGCCCAAGTTTCCCATCCTCAACCCAGGAAACATGGGTCAGCATTAGCCAGGATGGGAGGACTTACCTTACACGATACCATGAACATGGTGAAGATGAAGATGAGGCTGGCTTTGGACACTGGGAGCCAGCGGGTCTGCTGGAGGGTGAAGAGGATGGCTCCATACAGGCTGGCCTTGGTGGGGCTGGATGGGGTGGCTCTGGTTATCCGGAGGGTCTAGATGGCTCAGGGCTTTGTTCCTCTGGCCCAGAGCCCCTTCTCCACCCACCCCTGCTGTGCCCAGCCCACCCCAGCTTCTCCAGGGTGCACGGTGGGAAGATGCCCATGTGACATGGACGAGACGGTACCTCCCTGTGCAATAAAGAGTTAACTTGGTGCAAAGAGAGCTCTCTCCTCTAGCCTGCTCCTGAGAGGTACCCACAAAGTTCTGCCTGATAGGAATGTCTTTGTTCACCTGGGGACTCTCGGTCACACCAGATGATAACGATGTGATTTCGGGTGGGGTCTAGGGCCGCATGGTATCAGCTGAACCTCTGGAGGGACTGAAGACTGAGGTTGGCCATCCAGGATGTCAGTTAGGTCCATGTGACCAAGCTCCAGGAAAACCCCTGAACACCAGGGCTTGGGGGAACACTACTGGTGCCAATCTTAAATACATACAGTCACACATGGATACTTGGAGCAATAGGTGCTGTTCACACAGCTCCTCGGAGAGGGGACGATTGGAAGCTTGCACCTGGTCTCTCCCTGGATGCTATCCCTGTGCCTTTTGCCTGTGCCAGTTTTAATCTCTTCCCTTTTACTCTAATAAACTATAACCCTAAGTATAACAGCTTGGCCAAGTTCTGTGCTTCCTCCTAGCAAATCATTGCACCTGAGAGTGGTCTTGGGGACTCCTGAACAATGCACTCCCCTGGAATGTGGGATTATGACACACAATTATTATTGATTTTCCTTTTCTTCTTTGAAGAATAGACTTCCAATATTCTGACTTGCCCATGAGCTAAGTGTGTGAATACACCTCTCATGAGGATAAAATGAGACAATGCCATGTTTTGCAACATATGACATGGGAGGTTGTTTTCACTGGCACATGTTGTTGATGTTCAGTTGCTAAATTGTGTCTGACCCTTTGCAATCCCATGGGCTGCTGCAGCATGCCAGGCTCCTCTGCGCTTCACTGTCTCCCGGAGTTTGCTCAAACTCATGTCCATTGAGTCAGTGATGCCATCCAACCATCTCATCCTCTGTCATCCCCTTCTCCTCCTGCCTTCAATCTTTCCCAGCATCAGGGTCTTTCCAGTGAGTCAGCTCTTCACATCAGGTGGCCAAAGTATTGGAGCTTCAGCTTCAACATCAGTCCTTCCAGTGAATATTCAGGGTTGATTTCCTTTCTGATTTAGGACTGGTTTGATCTCCCTGAAGTCCAAGGGATTCTCAAGAGTGTTCTCCAGCACCACAGTTCAAAAGCATCATTGGCATATAGGTGAGTCTTTTAATGTTGTCATATTTTAATGGCAATAGCTTTATGGAAGAAAATTCAACTAGCCTGATCCTTTCAGGTCTTTTAAAAATGTATTAGACTGACGCTGAGGAGAGTCGGTGGCTGCTGAGGGCTGATTGAGTCTGATCTCTCCGACTGAAGAGCGTGGCGTGGGACCCTGGTGTGGGCTTCACACACATACCTCAGAATGCTGGGTCTAAGTTGTAGATTTTATCAACACAAATTTCCTGAGGTGGAAGATGTAGTGATGGTGAATGTAAGGTCCCTTGCTGAAATGGGCACTTATGTCAGCTTGCTGGAATACAACAACATCGGAGGCATGATTCTTCTGAGTGAGCTGTCAAGAAGGCGTATCCGTTCTATAAACAAACTCATCTGAATTGGCAGGAATGAATGTGTGGTTGTTATTAGAGTGGACAAAGAAAAAGGATATATTGATTTGTCAAAAAGAAGAGTTTCACCAGAGGAAGCAATCAAATGTGAAGATAAATTTACCAAATCCAAAACTGTTTACAGCATTCTTCGTCATGTTGCTGAAGTCTTAGAATACACCAAGGATGAGCAACTGGAAAGCCTGTTACAGAGGACTGCCTGAGTCTTCGATGACAAGTACAAGAGACCCGGATATGATGCCTATGATGCATTTAAGCACGCAGTCTCAGATCCATCTATTTTGGATAGCTTAGATTTGAATGAAGATGAACGGGAAGTACTCATTAACAATATTAATAGGTGTTTGACCCCACAGGCTGTCAAAATTCGAGCAGATATTGAAGTGGCTTGTTAAGGTTTTGAAGGCATCGATGCCGTAAAAGAAGCTCTGAGAGCGGGTTTGAATTCTTCTACAGAAACCACGCCCATCAGGATTAATCTGATAGCTCCTCTTCGGTATGTAATGACTACAACCACCCTGGAGAGAACAGAAGGCCTCTCTGTCCTCAATCAAGCTATGGCTGTTACAAAAGAAAAAATTGAGGAAAAGAGGGGAGTCTTCAGTGTTCGAATGGAGCCCAAAGTGGTCACAGATACAGATGAGACTGAACTTCCAAGGCAGCTGGAGAGGCTTGAGAGAGAAAATGCAGAAGTGGATGGAGATGATGATGCGGAAGAAATGGAAGCCAAAGCTGAAGATTAACTTTGTGGGAAACAGAGTCCAGTTTAAGGAACCCAAAGTAGCCTTCCTGGCTGTAAACCCTAGACTTAAAAGTTTTCCAGTATTGAAAACTTCAAAGCTGAATATTTTTTATTTCTAAGTATTTAAATGTTCCAACAGACCAAAACATGAAATGCCCTCCTAAATGTTAGCTGTTTACACACAGTAGCTCCAACACCTTGAGCATATTTTAAGAGAGTGGCCTGATTTCACTAGAGACAGATCTTCAAGACGGGACATAAATTGGGCTTATGATTTCCATTTCTGATATCTCCAGATTGGCAGCCCTTTGTAATTTAGTGCCTCCATGAGATTTATCAGAGGCACCCAAAGCAAATAGTTCCAACCTTTCTATATAAAATGTATCAAGCAAACATTAAATAAATTTCTGGGATATTAAAAAAAAATATATTAGACTAAATGCCTCATGGGGTCCTGGGTTGAGTCCTGTATATGACCATATGGTCTTAACCTTTGTTTTACACCTAACCCCAGCCACACTCCCCACCACACCCTCACTTCCCACCCAAAATCTGTACCCTGGCCCTGATGAACCAGGCAGAATCTTTTCTGACTTGATAGTTGGCAGATGCACTAGCCTCCGTCCAGAGTCTCCTTTGCCAGAAAACTCCTACTCAATCTTCAAAACCCATTTCATTGGTGATGAAGGAGTGTCTTATCTCCCTGAAGCCCTGACTAACCCCTCAGTAGTGTCAAGGCTCCGCCTCTGAGGTCCCCCAGCCTTGGCCTCTGGAAGCTTCTGGAAGGAGAATCAGGGGACCAAGGCTTCTCAGTTACCAGAGTATCCAACCCAGGGTCAGGCCCAGGGGGTGGGGAGGATGGGATACTCACAAGGACATGTGCAGAATCTCGTTGGTTTCTGGCTTCCAGACCCCTCGGAGCAGCTGCTCAAGGTTGGACATGAGAGTGACACCAGAGCCTATGGGACAGGGTACTTCTGAACAAGCCTGCCACCCTCAGCTTCCCATTCTTCTTGGCTGAATTCCCAAGCAAGAAGTTGCTGGAGTCTTCTCCAGAGGAATGTTGAGCTTAAGGTGTTGCAGGTGGGGAAACTGAGGCCAAGAAGGGACAGTCTTCCCAAGGATCACAAGGCATATTCAGAGCAAAACCAGCATGAAGTAATGGGGGTCATATCCCACCTGCAAGATATGTCTTGATCAAATCTAGATTGTCTGCCCTCATGTTTTCAATCCAGGATCTTGAACTGTACAAGAGGCTTCCAGAGGGCTTCCCACCCCCAGCCTCTCTCTCCCCTTGGGTTCTGAGCTTTCAACCTTTCTTGAGCTACTTGCCTTCTGGAAGGCATGTTGTAACCCTGGGGAATTTCCTCTTTAGTACAGACTTCCTAGAGAGACAATAAGGAGACCCATATCAAGATTTTTGGTTGAATTTCTAGAAGAATCTTCCCATTTACTCCAAATGTATTGGCTAAAGAGGTTTAGACACTCATTGAAGGCGTGGTTGTGCCCACTGAGTTTGCTTCTGGGGTGTCTTTGCCCCAAAGAGGCATTTGGCAATATTTGTAGACATTTTTTATTTCACCACCAGGGAGGGAGCTGCTACTGGCAACTTGTCAGTTGAAGCCAGGGACGCTGCTCAACATCCTTTAACACACAGGACAGCCCCCACCAGAGCGTGATCCAGCTCTCAGCATCAGATGTGCCTTAGGACCCTGGTTCGCTGGAGGGTACTCCTGGGCATTTAGGAGTACCCACTTTGGTGGGCAGGAAACAGGAATATAGAGCTTAGTGGTATTTAGCACCTGCTCAAGCCTTCTTTCCCTGCCTTCTTGTCACTCCCTGGCCCACCTCTGCAACTGTTACTGTTGAACTGTCTATTTCTCCTTTAACTTCCCTCAGTTTTCTCTTTATGTATTTTGGTGCTCTATTTTTAGGCGCATATAGGACTGATGCTGAAACTGAAACTCCAATAATTTGGCTACCTCATGCAAAGAGTTGACTCATTGGAAAAGACCCTGATGATGGGAGGGATTAGGGGCAGGAGAAGGGGATGACAGAGGATGAGATGGTTGGATGGCATCACCGACTCAATGGACATGAGTTTGAGTAGACTCCGGGAGCTGGTGATGGACAGGGAGGTCTGGCGTGCTGCGATTCATGGGGTCACAAAGAGTCGGACATGACTGAGTGACTGAACTGAGCTGAACTGATGTTTAAAATGGTTATATCGTCTTAGTGGATTGATCCACCATTATAAACTGTCCCTATGTAATTTTAGTAACTTTTTTTTTTAGTCTTAATGTTTATCTTGGTCTGCCTGTTAGCATAGATAGAGGAAGGGGAAAACTATTCAAAATAGTTACGAATGTGAATGTTGAATTCAGAGGACCTGGTGTCAAACCCCATCTGTGCCCCTGTAGCCACATGACCTTGGGCAAGTAATTTCATTTCCTTCCTCAGTAGAAAGGGATGATGCTAACTTTCTGCTAAAGAAGAGTCAAGTAAGATGCACAATGAGTTCAACTCAAAACTTACGCTTGATTGGGGATCTTAACCTAGAGTCTATGAACCCAGAGAGGAAACAGAATTACATTTTCATTTTCACATTCTTCACTGAAACACAGCCTTTCCATTTATCATGAAGGGAGGCAATTACCTTGGCAGGATTTGCAAGTCTATGACTGTCATCAACAGAACTCATGGATTTTTTTCTTTTCACATTCTCATTGTTGTAGATGGTTTCAAATACCATTTGTGCTCAACACTGTTTCAAGAGCATGAGACTTATTAGAAGTCAGAGGAAGGTCTGCTATTTAATCACTAGTAAGTATGCATAAAAGGCTTCCCATGTGGCTCAGTGGTAAAGAATCCACCAGCCAATGCAGGACACACAAGTTTGATCCCTAGATTGGGAAGGTCCCCTGTAGAATGAAATGGCAAACCACTCCAGTATTCTTGCCTGGGGAATCCCATGGACAGAGGAACCTGGTGGGTTATGGTCCATGGGATCAGAAAAGGGTCATACATGATTGAGTGTAAACAACAAACAGCAATAACAAATAGACATAAAACTACTAAAGCCTATTTTTGAACACCTTATAACTACTTTAAAATAATAGGTTTCCTTTATTCTCCTATATATTTTATGTCATGCACTTAAGAAAACATAAAAAGGTCTGTAGGCTTTACTGGGCTGACAAAAGGGCCATAGTCCACCAAGCTTAACAGGGGTATGATTTCCTCTCTGTGAGGCCCTTGACAACGCCTGGGGACATTTCCGATTGTTGCACTGGCGGCAGGTGCTACAGGCATCTTCGTGGGTGGAGGCCAGGGGTGTGCTCAACTCCCTACAACGCACAGGACAGCCTCCACACAGAGAAAGGTCCAGCCCCGCATGTGAGTAGGGCCGCAGTTGAGAAATCTTTCTCCAGAGGCATTAGCCATCCTTGTTTCATTGTCCTATTTACTTTTTTTAAAAAAACCTCTTCTGAATTTGTCACAATATTGCTTCTATTGTTTAAGTTCTGGTTTTTTGGCCCCAAGGCATATGGAATCTTAGCTCCCATATGCGATTGGCGATTGGCGCAGATAGCTGATAACGGCCCCTGAGAATCGGCTCTCAAGTGGGGTGACCTCCCTTTGTCCTGGTCACGGTCCTGCTTACCTTTGACCCACCCGGTGGCGATCATGATGAACCACCCGTGGTGGTAGTGGTGATGGGCGTGATGGATGCCCACGGCGATCTTGCGAACTCTCACCACCTCCTTCATGGCCACAAAGACGAGCTTCACTGGCAGGAAGCATACACACTTGTAAAAGAGGTCCAGCGGGCAGAAGAAAATCAAGTACCTTTGGGGAGAGAGTGCCAAGCATCAGGGGGAGACAGACCCTGGGGGCCCTCGGAGACGAGCTTGTGTCCAGACTCAGGACAGCTGGGCGGAGAGGGTGGTGAGTCAGGGCTAAGTGTGGAGGTTTGGCTGGCGGGTCCTGGTTCCTCCCACCTCCCGGGTGGTGGGATCGCCCTGCCCGCCGGCTCTGCTCTCCCACATCCCGCCAGACCATGATGCTCACCAGACCGCTGAGGCCAGCAGGATGCTGGAGTTGTTGCTGAAGTAGTCGATCACGGGCTCCCCAAGGAGCAGATCAGCCAGGATGTAACTCCCAAAGCAATGCAGCATGGCACACAGCCAGGACGCCATGGGGTGGTTCCGGGACAGCTCAACTGCTCCTAAGGGGCATGTGGGTGTCCCCACCATCACCAAGGCGCTGAGGGCATGCTTCACCATCATGCCCTCTGACCAGCTCATCCTAATTTAGCCACCTTCCCAGACTGTCCGCCCAAAGCCCTGCAGTTCATCCATTTACAGAGGAAGAACCAAGGCTCAGAGAGACTGCACACGTGTCCGAGATCACACAGAGAGAAGGCAGAACCAGGTTGGGGCTCTTTCCTCTGAGCTCAGAGAGGATGATAATTAAGACAAATCATATTTAGCAGGTCTTCCCTTATAGCTCAGTTGGTAAAGAATCCACCTACAATGCGGGAGACCTGGGTTTGATCCCTGGGTTGGGAAGATCCCCTGGAGAAGGGAAAGGCTACCCACTCCAGTGTTCTGGCCTGGAGAATCCCATAGACTCTAAAGTCCATAGGGTTGCAAAGAGTCAGACATGACTGAGCGACCTTCACTTTCACATTTAGCAAGCATTCCTGGGTCAGAGGTGGTGATGTTGTGTCCGACTCTTGTGATCCCACAAACTGTAGCCCGTCAGGCTCCTTTGTCCACGGGGTTATCCAGTCAAGAATACTGGAGTGGGCTGCCATTTTCTTCAACAAGGGATCTTTCTGACCCAGGGATCAAACCCGGGCCTCCTGCATCTCAGGCAGATTCTTTACCGCTGAGCTATCAAGAAAGCCCTCTCAGACACTGGGTTTTAGTGTTTATAGGAAGGACTCATTAAATCCTCATTGATGAGTGCAGCCAAGTGATCACTCTTATTATCCTGCCCAAGGAGACCGAAACTTGTTTTGTTTTGCTTGGCCATGCCTCTTGGCTCATGAGATCTTAATTCCCTGACCAGGGATTGAACCCATGCCCCCTGAAGTGGAAGCGTGCAGTCTTAACCATTGGACCACCAGGGAATTATGAGGAGACTAAAGCTTGAAGAGGGCAACATGCAGCTGAGAACGTCTGATGCAGCTACTCCTGCCTTGGGCAGATGCCAAGATCCCCATAAGCCTACACCTCTACCTTTGGTCTTTTCCTTATTTAAAAGGAAAAAAAAGTGGGTGCAGTAAAATATACATAAAATGTGCCATTTTAACCATTTTAAGGGTATGGTTCAGTACCATTAAACACACCTATGTTATTGCACAGCCATCCCCATCATTCATATTTATAGCGTTTTCACCTCACAAAACTGAAACTCTGGCCCATCAAACATTAACTCCACATTCTCCCTTCATCCCAGCCCCTGACGCCCACCGCTCTTCTTTCCATCTCTCTGAACTTGACTATTCTAGAGATGTCAAGTAAGTGGAATCATACAGCATCTGCCATTTTTGTGACTGGATCCTTTCATTTTGCATAAAATCCTCAAGGGTCATCCATGTCATAGGATGTGTCAGATTTTTCTTCCTTTTTAAGGATGAATAATATTTCATTGAATGTGTCTACCACATTCTGCATAACCATTCATCTGTCAGTGGACATTTGGGTTGCTTACAACCTTTAGCTATTATGAATATGGCAGCTAAGAACAAGAGCATACAAATATCTGTGAGTTCCTGCTTTCAATTCTTTGAGGTATAATTCCAGATGTGGATTTGCCAGATCAAAAGTTAATTTCATTTTTAACTTTTTGAGAAACTTTCCCACTGTTCTCCACAGCAACCATGCCATTTTACATTCCCACCAGCAATGCACAAGGGTTCCAACTTCTCCACCTCCTTGGTAACACTTACTGTTTTGTTTTTTAGGACTAGCTATCCTGATGGGTGTGAGGTGGTATCTCATTGTGGTTGTGATTTGCATTTCCCTAATGACTGGTGGTCTGGTATGCCCATCTCTTTCAGAATTTTCCACAGTTTATTGTGATCTACACAGTCAAAAGCTTTGGCATAGTCAATAAAGCAGAAATAGATGTTTTTCTGGGACTCTCTTGCTTTTTCAATGATCCAGCGGATGTTGGCAATTTGATCTCTGGTTCCTCTGCCTTTTCTAAAACCAGCTTGAACATCTGGAAGCTCATGGTTCACGTATTGCTGAAGCCTGGCTTGGAGAATTTTGAGCATTACTTTACTAGCGCGTGAGATGAGTGCAATTGTGCGGTAGTTTGAGCATTCTTTGGGATTGCCTTTCTTTGGGATTGGAATGAAAACTGATCTTTTCCAGTCCTGTGGTCACTGCTGAGTTTTCTAAATTTGCTGGCATATTGAGTGCAGCACTTTCACAACATTATCTTTCAGGATTTGAAATAGCTCAACTGGAATTCCATCACCTCCACTAGCTTTGTTCGTAGTGATGCTTTCTAAGGCCCACTTGACTTCACATTCCAGGATGTCTGGTGAGTGATCACACCATCGTGATTATCTGGGTCATGAAGACCTTTTTTGTACAGTTCTTCTGTGTATTCTTGCCACCTCTTCTTAATATCTTCTGCTTCTGTTAGGTCCATACCATTTCTATCCTTTATCGAACTCATCTTTGCATGAAATATTCCCTTGGTATCTCTAATTTTCTTGAAGAGATCTCTAGTCTTTCCCATTCTGTTGTTTTCCTCTACTTCTTTGCATTGATCGCTGAGGAAGGCTTTCTTATCTTGCCTTGCTATTCTTTGGAACTCTGTGTTCAAATGGGAATATCTTTCCCTTTCTCCTTTGCTTTTCGCTTCTCTTCTTTTCTCAGCTATTTGTATATGCAGGTCAGGAAGCAACAGTTAGAACTGGACATGGAACAACAGAATGGTTCCAAATAGGAAAAGGAATACATCAAGACTGTATATTGTCATCCTGCTTATTTAACTTATATGCAGAGTACATCATGAGAAACACTGGGCTGGAGGAAGCACACGTTGGAATCAAGATTGCCGGGAGAAATATCAATAACCTCAGATACGCAGATGACACCACCCTTATGGCAGAAGGTGAAGAGGAACTAAAAAGCCTCTTGATGAAAGTGAAAGAGGAGAGTGAAAAAGTTGGCTTAAAGCTCAACATTCAGAAAACTAAGATCATGGCATCTGGTTCCATCACTTCATGGAAAATAGATGGGGAGACAGTGGAAACAATGTCAGACTTTATTTTTGGGGGCTCCAAAATCACTGCAGATGGTGATTCCAGCCATGCAATTAAAAGACACTTATTCCTTGGAAGGAAAGTTATGACCAACCTAGATAGCACATTAAAAAGCAGAGACATTACTTTGCCAACAAGGGTCTGTCTAGTCAAGGCTATGGTTTTTCCAGTGGTCATGTATGGATGTGAGAGTTGGACTGTGAAGAAAGCTGAGCGCCGAAAAATTGATGCTTTCGAACTGTGGCGTTGGAGAAGACTCTTGAGAGTCCCTTGGACTGCAAGGAGATCCAACCAGTCCCTCCTAAAGGAGATCAGTCCTGGGTGTTGATTAGAAGGACAGACGCTGAAGCTGAAACTCCAATACTTTGGCCACCTCACGTGAAGAGTTGACTCATTGGAAAAGACCCTGATGCTGGGAGGGATTGGAGGCAGGAGGAGAAAGGGACGACAGAGGATGAGATGGCTGGATGGCATCACCGACTTGATGGACATGAGTTTGGGTGAACTCCAGGAGTTGGTGATGGACAGTGAGGCCTGGCGTGCTATGGTTGCAAAGAGTCAGACATGATTGAGTGACTGAACTGAACTGAACTGAATGACTGGTGATACTGAGCACTTTTTTCAAATGCTTATTGGTCTTTTTTTTTCCTCTGCACCACCATTGTTTTAAATATTTTAACTTATTTATTTGGCTGTACTGGGTCTTAGTTGCAGCATGTGGATCTAGCTCCCTTACCAGGGATTGAATCTAGACCCCCTGCATTGGGAGGACAGAGTCTTAGCCACTGGACCACCAGGGAAGGTCCTTATTGGTCATTCCAATATCTTCTTTGCAGAAATGTCTATTCAAGTCCTTTGTGCATTTTTTATTTTTATTTATTTATTTATTTTTGTTTTTCTTTTTTATTTATTTTATTTTTTCATTTATTTTTATTAGTTGGAGGCTAATTACTTTACAATATTGTAGTGGGTTTTGTCATACATTGACAGGAATCAGCCATGGAGTTACATGTATTCCCCATCCTGATCCCCCCTCCCACCTCCCTCTCCACCTGATCCCTCTGGGTCTTCCCAGTGCACCAGGCCCGAGCACTTGTCTCATGCATCCAACCTGGGCTGGTGATCTGTTTCACCATAGATAATATACATGTTTTGATGCTGTTCTCTCAAAACATCCCACCCTCGCCTTCTCCTACAGAGTCCAAAAGTCTGTTTTGTACATCTGTGTCTCTGTTTCTGTTTTGCATATAGATGCTCAACATCCCTCATTATCAGAGAAATGCAAATCAAAACCACAATGAGGTACCATTACACGCCAGTCAGGATGGCTGCTATCCAAAAGTCTACAAGCAATAAATGCTGGAGAGGGTGTAGAGAAAAGGGAACCCTCTTTGTGCATTTTTTTAAAAAATGGGTTATCCTTCTTTTGTTGAGTTGTGCTCTTATGGAGAAAGTTTATTTGCTTTGACTGGCCCCAGATAGGAAGGTACAGAAGAAATTTGAAAGGACAATCTGATGTCCTGCTTCCAAGTCTTGTCTCATTGAGAGAGTGTCATCAGGTCAGAGGGAAGTCACGAGATACTGGTACCAAGACAGACAGTACAGGCATGCCCATGTGTTGGAAGGGTGCAGAAAGAGCAATGAGCAAAGCCAGATAAGGCAGTCCTTGAATATAGAATTATACTGACAGAGTGGGGAGGGAGAGAGAGCAACCCTGTTAGCAGCATAGAAGGAACAAAGACACAAGCAAAACTGTCCAAGCACACATGCCACTTCCTCCAGGAAGGCTCCCTTGCTCTACTAAGCCAGTCAGTCCTGAGGACTTCCACTCCCCTGTGGACTCCACTCTATTGGTACTTCACACAATTTTTTCACATTGAATAAGAGAAAGTAGCTTAGAGGTTGCTTAGCAGTAGAGGGAATAGGGGAGATGGGAA